AAATCTCTAAGGTATTTAAGTTGAACATACTACACAGCAGGACAAGGGCATTTGAAGATCACATCAAGAACTCCTCTACCTTCACTTGTTAGGGATAACAGTAGAGAGGGAGAGAATGACAACGCAGTGTGGGGTGATAACTGATGTGTGCTAAGAAGGGGGCAGGGGCTCATTAGAGCCCATTCTCAGCCAAGCATCGCCATGTCTGACTGACCAGTACAACACACAGACATACAGCAGGTTTGCCAAAGAGCCAGCAGAAGCCTAATTTCTTAGGCCACACTTCCTTTCAGCGAAAGGAAGCTTTCACTGTGCAAGTCAGCTTAATCTCAAGCAAGAGCAGGAAGTAGTTGGACCAGTTTTTCTTAACCATTGTTATCCTTACAAACAATTTTATAGAGAAGGGACTGAGGTCAGGAACGAGAGCAAAGCAAGATAACATGAATACTTTTCATTCCCACCTTTCTTATGGACAGGATTTGATAAGACAGCAACAGTGAGGTAGAATATGTAAGAATTTTCACTATCTTCAATTCACCTTTTGTCTCACTGCAGCTAATTGTGTATCTGAAGACATACACCAGGCTCTTTGGTCAGCTCAAACTTTAAACTGGCCCGTGGAGCACAGCAGTTCTTTTGTACTGGGACAGCTGCAGGATTGTGCTTTCAGGCCCACAAACCTCATTTTACTACAGCTTTGTTTGCTACTCCAGATTGCTACACTGACTAATATTCTTTTCTGCATGCACTTCCTCCTGAACTACAGATAATTAAAAGGAAATTGAGACTGCTATGTTTTATTTCTTGGACTGACAAGCTGAATCTGTTCACTAACAATCTTAAAACAATTTGGTGTTGTGTTTCAGTCTTTATTCAGAGCAAAAGGTCAGAAGGCTGTTTGCTTTGTTTATCCATTCTCCTCAAGTTATTTTCAAAACATAAAAGCTTTGACTTGTAACTCAGAAGAAAAAACAAAAGTCTTGCTAACATGTGGTTAGTAACTTTCTTCTTAGAAATAGATACATGCACAAACAGCAAGAATCTGTTACTATTGTTATACCATCACCAAATGATTCTGTACAAGTATCTTATGGAGAAAAGAAGGCATGGAGAGCTTAATAGAAAGCACATACAGTATAAGATGTTGAACTAGTCCAGCCAGTTTCGCAGCTTGGATCTTTGCCTACAATGTATGTACAATAACAGTCTGTGCAACAGATGAAGAGTAGTTTTTATAGACTGGTGATGGGATGTGTCTCTGTTTTCTTCCTGATGCTAAAGCATTTTTTTCCCTACAAGACCAGAGAGAATTAAACCAGTTTTCACTTTTGACCTATGCAAGCTGAACATAGGTGCATATACATGTGCCTGTGAACAAGGTATCAGTTGGTTAGTAAAAGAGAAAAATCATGCTTTCATTTCCCTTTGTTGTCCTTATTACAAAATATGATTAAGACTTTATTTCATATTTAAGTTACTCAAATCACCTACAAGTTTTCAAATCCAAGTCTTTAACACCTCTAGCACTCCTCCTGCTTAACAGCTAACAATACCAACATAAAATGCTAACATAACAGCACTTAGTATGCTGTGATGTTTTTAACATTGGTATTAGAAGGTATAACTATTCCTATTTTGGAGAGGATCTTCTCTATGAGGAATATGTATTAGATTTACTGTTGTTAATGCAGCCTTTGTACAGGCAGATTACTGAGATCTTAGGGAAGTTATTAGCTCTTACAACTATACAATTTTTAAGAGCCTATAAACAGGAGGGGAGTCAACTTTTTGAAAGGGTAGATAACAGCAGGACAAGGGGAAATGGTTTTAAGCCGAAGGAGGGAAGATTTAGGTTGGACGTCAGGGGAGATTCTTTACTTTGAGAGTGGTGAGGTGCTGGAACAGGCTGCCCAGGGAGGTTGTGGATGCCCTGTGCCTAGAGGTCAAGGCCAGATTGGATGGGGCCCTGGGCAGCCTGGTCTAGTATTAAATGATGGCTCTGCATGTGGCAGGGGGGTTGGAGCTTCGTGATACTTCAGGTCCCTTCCAACCTGAGGCATTCTGTGAAACTAATTCATTCTACAAGCAAGCAGCTACTTCCAATTACTTTCTAAGACTGTCTTGACATATTACTCACTCCTGCTCTTTTTCTCTCCAGGAACCTTAATTGTATTGAAGCATCCCTACCCACATGAAGTGGAGGAGCCATCTATTTATGAGTCTGTCCGAGTTCACACAGCAATGCAGACAGGAAGGACAGAAAATGATCTTGTTCCAAATGCTCCCTCAGTAAGTTGCTCTTTGGCAAGAAAGGTGTTTGAGTTGGCTTGAGTTTAATGTGATTGCTAGAGTGAGCTATGGAATAATGCTGATAATTCACTACTGTACGTGTTCTGAAATACAAGACGACTTCACCAAATAAGGCAAAGCAGACTTGCTAAAAACAGACAAATAAAGCCTCTCATAGCCATTGCCTCTGAGACTGCCAGTGCTGTCTACAGCAGGCCAAGGAGAGTCTGACCATCAAACAAAGCATATATAAAAGGTTTTAGATCTCCTGTGTTACCAGTAATATTATCAGGAATTAAAAAACAAATTCTAAAGACCAGATTGAGAAGTATTATGCTTTTCTGAGAGCACTGATCAGGCTGCATGCAACAATACCCATGTCAGGTTGCACAGCAAAGCCTTGTTTTGGCAAGCTTCTAGCAGTGTACTGGCTGGGATTAAGAAGACAACACCTCTGAATCCCTACATCAGTTAAAAATTGAGCTTTTGAAAAAAAAAAAAAATGTATATTCAAAAATATTCAGAGACAAATAGGGACACATTTGGAAAGGGAAACTCCAAACCAAGTGTGCTACAATGAGTAAGTGTATCTGTATTCTGGTAGGCACATTACATTTGATTTTTTGTTGTTGTTTTCAGCATTTTCTTATTTGGACTTATTACCTTATAATCATCTCATCTTAAAGCTGAAAGATGGCTTGCTATATTCTAATACAGACTTGCACCCAAAATAGACTTAAGAGCCTCTCAGCCCTAGTAAAAAGCAGTGTCATGTTAGAAGCTATGGCTTCCTGGTGTGAGAAACAAGAGAACATCTTCATATCCATTTGAGCCATCTGTTCTGATATCTGTGACTCACTTGGACAGTAATTAGAGACTTTAAATCCCTAACTCCTATTTGAGTGAAACAGGTGGTTTGTCCAGAACAGTATGGCTCAGAGCACAGAGGAGAGTATTCTAATAACTTACTAACTTTTTGAAATTAAAGAGGAAGAGTTACATTAATACAGGCTAACAAAGTCCATACAAGAAACACTTTGTATCCCACATCCATCCATTCACAGCTGAGTTCCACTTAAACCTCTAAAGGAACTTAACTTTCCTATGCAGCCACTAAAAGGCTTTCCATCCTCCACCCCACGCTCCCTCCAGTAGTGGCAATAATTCACTGACAAACTCCAGGTACTTCTGGCTATAGCATGCAGATGCAGACAACCAACTTCTCTAAATAAAGATCAACCATAATTGCATATATTTTGCTTCGTTTAATGGACAAGATGCAGGCCAGAAGCTTGAATAGAGAGGTGGAAGAATTTGTCTCTGGAGTCAGCAAAAGTTGGTATTTATCCAAGTGGTGAGGAGCAGGGACTCAACAACAAGGACAAGAGCAAGTGGTTACAGGAAGCTGCCTGAGAACAAATTGCTCTTCCATCTATGGTTATAGGCAGAAGGGGATGTGGGAAACAGAAACAGAGCTGATTCTCTAACCCCAGTTCTTTTCCTTATTATTTCACAGCTTGGTACTAAAGAAGGATATTTGATAAAACAAGGCAAAATTGTCAAGGTAAGAAAACCTCTTATTCCTTGCTTTTACTCTGTAATTGCCCACAGAAGCTAGGGAGAATGCTGAACTTGGCCTGAATTTCCCTTTGGGGAGGAATAATTTGTCTTCTAAACAACAGCAAAGCGTGACTGTAAAGCAGAGCAAGTCAATACATTTAAAGGTTTTTCTTTCCCAAGAAGTGCTACATTAAATTCTCACAAGACAATTACCATCTCTTCTTGATCTTTCAGAACTGGAAGACAAGGTGGTTTACACTGCATAGGAACGAACTTAAATATTTCAAAGACCAGACAGTAAGTAGCAAGCACCAGTTCTATTCTCTAAACATGTACAGGGGCAGCCACAACATTCTCCTATTTCTGGCTTCTTGCATACGTATCACAGCTTACCAAGTTACAGCTTCCCATACTGTCAGAAGGACTTTCAGGTATCATACTTTCAGAAGGACTTTCAAAGTCAGAGTCTTGCTGATGACCTTAACAAGTCAGTCAATAAGTTTTGCAGCTAGAAACCATCTCCTGTGCTCCTACAGGTCAAAATTGCTCTTTAAAAATGCATTCTTTTTGTTTCTTTGTTCAGTGGATTTCGAACTATCAGCACAGCTTTCACTGGTAGCTTTAACAGACAGAGAACAGTACTATTGAAGTATTTCTGCAAGTACTAGAAGTGTATTTTGCATTCCTTGATTTCATCCTTTTAGTTCAAGTGGTTGTGTAGTTTACACAAACAACTGCAATTAAAGGAAATTCTTATCAATCTGACTAGCACAAAGACTTATCTATTGCATCTGGGAAAGAGTTTGTCTTTACAGTTGTGTTCCATTTTTAACTTAAATGGAGTAACAGTAAGAGTAAGAAATACCTTTAGGGTCCCTCCACCCTTACAGTACCTCCACAGCAAGTCCCTGCACAAATGCAGCCAAACCATTGGCCACTGCCCAAGCCTCTTTCAAGCATCTTGCAGATTTTAACACAACAGCATACACCTGCCCTCTCACCCCAGACATTCCCATCAGCTATGTAGTACTTACAGAGTTTGCCATTAGTGCTCATTTCAGTTAAAACTACCTGGAATTAAACTTCCAGTGTAACATTTTTAAGGGCAGCACTCATGAATTGAAAAAGTCTGAATTGCCTTTGTGACTTACCAGGCAAGAACACATCTTGGTCAGAAATGCAGATTCCTCCCACATAGCTCCAGCAGCCATTGATGCTTCTGTTGTTGCTGTACAGTTCACTGCTAGCTGCAGGCTGGCACTTATCAGTTCATCTCAGCACGTGCAGCTTTCTCATAACATAGTGCACAACTATCAGCTATTGAAACAGAGAAAGACGTAGGGAAAGGTGAGAAAATGCTCCATATGCCTCATGAAGGAGCATAGGAATTAGTGAGGGTGTTTAGATAGAGCAAGCAGCTCTTTCATTTCAGGCACCTCTTCTGAGGTACTCAACATGGTGAGAAAAATAAATCAAAAGGACTCTCACACACCTGAATAGAATGAAACTCCCAAGGGAAGTACATACCTGCTCCCAAATGCTTCTAGACCTGTCCCCAAAAAGCCACACACACACTACTTCAGCTCTCCTGTTGCCTTTTTCCATACTCAGCTTCAACCTTTTAAAGCTTTTAGGAATTAATTAAATCTCCAACAGCTGGTCAGAACTGATAAGATGTGTAACTATCTTTTTTTTGTCTCTGTGAGCCTTAGCTGGATACTAGTTATATTATAATGAATGACCCAAACCTTTAGCAGTTTGTATCTAGCTCTGACTTCCTGCAGTAGTGGTGTCCTCTATTGTTTGTCCAGAGCTGAACCTACTGTACTGTTTCTTACATTAGGCTCAATTCCTCCCACTACAGTGCTGATGTTGTTTAGCCGGTTTAGGTTCACAGTGCTTGTAGCTTTCATACCTATACTCAGAGAGATCCAGAGCACCCATAAAGGTCCAAGTGCACTGGAGATGAACAAAAGTAGCCTTATTTTCATGTGTTCCCATTATAAAATTATTTTATTTTAAAGGCCACAGAACCAATTCGGGCACTCGACTTAACTGAATGCTCAGCAGTGCAGTTTGACTATTCCCAAGAAAGAGTCAACTGTTTCTGGTAAGTTGCATTCTACACTGTGCTGGGAAGGTCAGAGTAGCCAGGAGTTTCAAATGGAACCACTGGGTGCTTTTGAAAGCTCCCTATATTCTGAAGCCAGCCCTGATCTTAACAAATCTTAACAGCCTCTGTCAGTTCTGCGTGGGTTTGCCAGGTAGAAGGTTTTAATTTCATGATGGGGAGAAAGAGGGCAGGCTCATATTTTGTGGGCACTTCTTTTTCTAATCCTGAAAATGCATATATATAATCATTATTGAGGCATATGGTACTTAGTGAGGTGATCCAGCTGGCACTTGGATCCCAATGGGCTCCCTAGGAACATGTCCCTGAGCTGTAGACTGTGAATGCTGCCTGTCAACCTTTCCTGTACAGAAGAAAAGCCTTGCTGCCCTGCTCTTTCTGCCAGTGGTGGTGCAACCAGTTGGCTTCAGTTTTAGGAGGAACTACTGCTTTGCTCTAGCAACTTAAGAAACAGCTCTAATTGTTTATTTACAGCTTAGTGTTCCCACTAAGAACATACTACCTGTGTGCAAAAACTGGAATAGAAGCAGATGAGTGGATTAAAATACTGCGATGGAAACTGGTAAGATGGTGTGTGTTGTTAAAAGGCAGTATGCCTTGTGATATGATAAACTCCCAGTGCTAGAGCACACCAATGCTACAGGTCTCACTATCTGCATGGAGAGAGTGCTGCTCTGGATTCCAGTCCAACTAGACTAGAATATGGAGTTTTCATGAAATGCATGAGCCTGGCAGCCCACTTTACTACTTTTGGGATGCCTTTTTGATATTTAGGCTTGTTATGAAGAAGCAATGAATTAACATCATTAAAGTCATTGCCCTGTAGATGGTGAACAGTATTGAACAGCACAGATTGCACACGTTGGTCCTGAAGGAAACAGGAAGACTTAAAAACGTTACTTCCTTAAAAAAAATGAGTATTTAGGTTGGTTTTACTCATCCACATCCACATGCAGGTAGACAAATGATAACGGGTTGTTTCTCTGTTCTAGTCACAAATACGGAAACAAGTGGAGCAGCGCAATGCCCCCAGTTCCCAGTTGCACCCCTAATCCTTCCATTCCACGGGCAGGAATTGCCTCTCAACCACAGGGAAGGCATCTGACCACAGGAAGACAGTTCCACATCTCCACTGCTTGCCCACACGCAGACATTTGCATCCAGCTCTGCATACAGAGGATCTGTACAGCTTTCAGGACTGCTTTCAGGTTGCTGAGTCATGTGTGGAGACCATTGCAAAATCACAGCGTCAGTTTGATGTGTGTGGTTTATGTCTTCAAGGCTCAATCATTCAGGCACCCATTAACTAAACACAGAAGCAGTCACTTCAGAACTTCTGTGGTTATCCAGAGCCATCTTGAGAACTTACTGCACGCTCCATCACAGCTACCGTTAGCAGCCACAGACTGTAACACTCAGCCTGTTATTTAAAATTAGGCCTTTCTGGAAACATTAAATATTACTTTTGTGTGGCCTGTTGGGATCTAGGCCAAAAGAAGAATGACAGAGCCAATTACATTTTTGTAAGTACTATCTACATTAACACCCGCAGAATTAAACCTAGTATTTCAAGACTTTTGAAGGTAATGGAGGAGTAATACTTCTGGTCAAGTATATTTTTGTACATTTTAGATTTATACCACAGTTACGGCTTTGAATGAACATTTATTTTAAATGGCATGGACAGGATATGGTAAGCAGCGACAAACACATTTGTTTACAAACCCAGGCTATGAAAAACAGGCAGCTAGTTCTCAGCACATGTGTGTGCTGCTACAGGACCCTGAGGATGGATGACAGAGCTCTGCAGAAGGCTTTGCTGGTGGCAGCCACCAACGTTTTAGCAGCATTGATGGGACCACATGCTCCCCTTTGAAAATGAGCTGGATTTTGTATTTTTTTTTGCCTCAAGCAGATAACTTGGTTTATAAAACGAGGTTTCATCCACAACTGCATTCAAGAATTAAGCACTGCTTGCTTTACGCTGAACAAGAAGAGCAACAGGAAAGCACAATATACACTAAAAAACATACACGTGTGCGTGTGTGTTTGAAAGAGTGTATCTTCTACATGATGGATGAAAATTTCCATATGCATTTTGGAAGACTCAAGCACACCTGAGTGTTGTGGCTCACCAGAGTTCAGAAGCAGAAGCCTTGTGCTTTGGTGCTATAATGAAAAAAAAGAGGTACTATGTTTTGAAATCAAGTTTTGAGACTGGAGGCGTCTCAAGGCCAGCCTGGTCTGATCTCCCATCTGACTGCTCCTCTGGGAGACATGGGGTGAGCAGGGAGATCCCTCTCTCTGTAATGGTCACATTTCTGACGAACCGCTGCATGCACGCAAACCTTTTCCCTGGACAATGTGCAGCTCAGTGTTCAGTAGATGCCTTTACTGTGAGAAAGTTGAAGAGAAAAAGGAGCAGAAATGTACTAGAAGAACATACGAGACGGAAAATCCAGCTTTGGACAGGAATAGCATTTTATTTCAACTTATACATTCAAAACATTTGTAAATATGTTTATATACTGTTTTCTGAATAAAAAGTCATTATAAAACTACCAAAGGTCTTCTGTCATTCTGCACTGTATCATTAAAGCTTTGCAAAATAAATTAGTCCTTCTTTCTGCCTTAAGAATCTGTCACGGAGTTGACCAGATCAATCTACGTCCGTGACAGACAACTTGCACCTCCAACTTAGTTAAAAAGCACTGATGACTTGGCACACAATAAAGGTGGTGTCAGGAGAAGAAAGATCTGATGTTCTCCCATACCATTGCTCTCCTGTGCAAACAGCTTGGGAACGAAGCTCCAAGTGCAACCACAGAAGCAACCTTCCTCTTCACATGTTACAAAACATCTGAAGCAAGCTCAGTACGTGATGCCACAGACAGAAGCCAGCAAACCAGCACTTGGTTGGCTTGGGAAACATTTAGGGCAAGGGCACCAGACGGGTTGAGCAGGAAACAGCAGCAAGAGATTCTCCTTGGATAGAACAGGAATGATTTTTGCCGCAAGCACCCACACAGATGCCTTGGGGCCCAGTTACCCAGAGCCGTCTCTATGATTAGAGCTACAGAAAGCTTGAGCTAGGAGCTCAGTTTAAATGGGAAAGGCTTGACTGACAATTTTTAATCTGTGAGAGCTGAGCAAAGAACGGCCAGCCCTCACTCCTGGCACAGAGATGGGCAAGGTGCAAGCATGATGTCAGAGACTTGCTAAGAAAGCTCTGTTACACCAACAGTTTTAGATTTGACTGTGTGCACTAGTGTCACAGAGAGACTGAGGGAGAAAAGAGGTGAGGCAGAGGGCATGGGCTGGAACCCCCGCGATCTTATAAATAGGAAGCCAGTCAGCTACTAATTTCTCCATCTCCATATTGGATGTATTGGATGGATCATACAGGATGCAACATCCACTCAGCCCCATTGAGATGCACACTGGTTAGCTGCCAGCTTGTAAGCTCCTGGTTTTTGTAAGCTTACAAGTGATTAAAAAGCCCATTCTCTGCACAGAAATGGTACTATATTGCGGTGCAACAGAAGAGTGGACCAGGGTCTGTCATTTAAAAATACATTTTATTTTTATTTATTTACTTAGGAAAACCTAGGAGTAAATGAGCTGAGTGTCACCCATGATGAAATCCACACAAAAACTACAAGGCATGAGAACTTCACAACTGTGTTACACAAAAACCCCACAAAGTGAAACATGGTTCGTGTGCTTTCCTGTGGGCGTTAGGAAAACCCCTAAAGCAACAGCCTTCATAGAAATAGCATTCTCAGTGAAAGCAGGATGCAGCCAACACCCAGATTAGTCAGATTCTTTGACCAAAGCATCACCAACAAGATGGGATACTGATTGATTGTACTGATACATCACTGCTAGCAAACAGGCTCTCACAACGCTCCTTCAGCCACATCTTTGGTAACACCAATCCATCTGTCACCCAGTAAGCTGTGGTAGCTAACCTGAGGATAAACTCCACTGAATGCCTGGTGCCCCATAAAGCAAAAGGTCTGTGGGTTGCTCAACTGAGCCAAGAGCACTGTGCTCATGTGGCTAAGTTGGCTGAGCTAAACTCCATGGGAGCTATTTGGTGGTCTCCAGCACTGCACAATACAAGAAGCGTGGTCTAAAGTAACATCTGCCTACAACACACCCGTAGATCATT